GGACAAGCAGTTGAGACTGGCATTCGAAGCCCTCAACGCCAAGGACTACAAGCATGCGATGGTCCTCGTCAACGAGAGTCTCGTACCACTCGAGGAAGGTCAAGGTATCTCGAACCCTTCACTCGAGGCCGAAGCCTTGACTCTAAGTGGATCCTTCAAGTAGGTTCAATTATTCTTGTCAATCAATTAACTGACTGGTTTGCCCAGGTATCTGATGCAAGATCCAGTTGGTGCTAAGGAACAATTCACCAAAGCTCTGGCGGCCAACCCTGCCTCAATACACACCTGGTTGAAGATGGCCAACATTCACTTGGACCAAAACAACCTAGAAGAGTCCATGAAATGCTTCGAAAAGGCATTGGAGCATAATTCCAAGGACCCTGATATCTACTATCACCGGGGCCAAAGTCAGTATTCACAGTAACTTGATGAACCACCCTGACGCCTTGTAGTCTACTTTGTGATGAACGAGTTCGTCAAGGCTGCTGAGGACTATGCGACATCCACAGAGTTGGACAAAACCTTCGTCTTTAGTCACATTCAACTCGCCGTCGCGCACTACAAGAGTGGAAGCATTCAGAAGAGCATGGTAGAATTCAGAAGGATAATGAAGGAGTTCCCGAAGCACAGTGAACCACCAAATTATTAGTGAGTAGGACATGCGTCACAACAGAGTTAGACTGAACAATTGTTATAGTGGTGAAGTCTTGTTGGATCAAGAGAGGTATCAAGATGCCATCGAGAAGTTCGAGCGCGCTATCGAACTAGAGAAAGCAAAGTAAGTTGGACAACCGTCTCAGAGGCTAGCATCTAATGAGATCCTGCACCAGACCTCCTCCGATGAATGTCCTTCCGTTGGTCAATAAGAGCTTGGCTTTGTTCCAATGGAAGAAAGATGGGGCCACTGCGGAGCAATTCTGCCTCGAGGCGCTCCAGATTGACCCATTGTGTGAAGCGGCATTCGCAACTCTCGGCCAGATATACCTTGCTCAGCAGCAATTTGACAAGGCCTTGGCAAAGTTCCGCGAGCTAACTCAAATATCCACCAATGCACCACAGCTATCACTCACCTTCTACCACATCTACGTGAGTTCTTGTTTTGAATCTTGGCATCCCGGTGCTTACCCTTTTCCGCTAGTCTACTGAAGCTCAGGTCAAATTCCTGGCCGAGTACCCATCTCATGCCCCACGGTTTGCATAATTGAACATTCGTTACTATATGTCGTATGTTACTAGCTACCCATTGTATGGGTAAGCGACTACCCGATCTTATATCTTGTTATTCTGCTTTGTACTGATAATAGGTTCAATATGGTTTATTTCATTCACCTTTCATGACCAAAAAAGTCTTTTGTTCGTAGGATAGAAAGATAAGCATACAGGATGTTTGTGGCTATGTTCAATGCATGAAAGGGGAAAGCGCCCCTCCGACCTGAAAATTTATTAGAATTCGTCCTCCAATCGCTAATTAAACCAACCTGTTGAACCTGTATATCAATCGTATCGTCGTCCTGCATATCAAACTTTCAAAGTGACGTTAGCAATAGGTGGAAGGGTCATGCCATCCCACTAGAGCGCACCTGTTCAGGAGTTTGTTCGGCGCGAACGCGTTGACCGTCATATAAGAATCGTATCATGGCTATGTGGATTTGTCAGCCCGAATTTTCTTAGAGCAGAGCAAGCAAGGGTTACATGGATCCAGATTAAACCGCGTCTGTAATTCTGTTTAGCAAAACGACTGTGAATTATGAGAGAAGAACGAACAGATGCTGCTTCGAACATCTTTGCGAATGTCGAGGTGGGTTTTATCCCGATCTTGATATCTGATGTATGGCGTCGTTAGCTGCACCCTTCGACGCGTTCTACGCGTCACGACACGCATAACAGTTGGAAACATACGTTGACCGTCTGGACTACTAACAATTAACATCAGCTTGGCCCCTTTGGGCTTTACAGGGGTGGCTGGGTCGTATTGAGAAGGCCCCGCGCGCTCATCGTTGATATCAGGCTTAATGTCGCGTTCTTCAGACATGAATATGCAGTTTACAGGGAGCAATTAGAAGTGAGGGTTAGATATGGTCAGGTACAACACAGCGACACCACCCTATCCTAATTACAAATCTTTCTCAAATTGTTTTTGTGGCACCTTTTCGTACTTTTCCAGCGCCTTAAGTCGCTCAGTGAGGGTCGGGTGTGTATGGTGCCAGGCCGAATACCTATGCAGG